TAGCGTGTCTGCTGTTTAAAACAAACTTCCTAGCCTAATTTTGAGACTGGCTATGATGACTGAGATGGACTATGTTGATTTATTAATAATATTTTGTTTGGGATGAAAAAAAAGGAGAGTCCATTTCACCAAAATGCTCCATCAGCACATAGTTTAGTGTGCGCGATGGACAGTATGGCTATGGAATTTACTAACCACACAATCCACATTTAGGTGATTAAGTCGCAAAACTTTATTTGCATTTGGTGGATTAAGTCGCAAAACTTTAGCTTCGTTTGGTGGCACCATTTACTCTAGGTAGACGGCAACCGGTTTCGTTACCGGTTGGTACATTTCTTACAAACATTCAGCCAAAGGCCAGTGAAAGTTGAGACGGCAGCCGTGTTTTTATCGATGTTTGCCATCCTTATGTGTGCCATCGTAAAGGAATTGCCTTTTAATTTTAATCTCCGAACTTCTGAAGCTGACATATCCTATGAATGTAGGCTTGTAATGCAGGCTACAATTTAAAAACGGGTAGGACTCATTCAAAAATTCGAGGGGGTTCGCTAGAAAACAGGGGGGTTCGCTAGAAAAGGGGGGTTCGCCCGAACCATAAAAACCCCCCACCTGGCTACGGGCCTGCGACGTGTGAAGCACCGAGCTGGGGTGGTGTTTATAGTGCTTAAGACCATCGACACATTGGAATTCAATTGAAAATTAGATTTTGTTTTTTGGAGTAGGTCTACGATGACGTGCTTTCCTCTTTCTGGACTTTATTTTCTCTTCTTTATTATTTGGGGTGGGGGATAGCTGGGGGCCTCGGCCCACATCAACCCTTGCCCCTGTTACAGTTTCCCCTCTTGGTGGCCTTGGTTGGTAAATTTGGTACATTATAGTCATCATAGGGCTACAATTCATGATTTAGTTTTTATACTTATTTAAAGCATCAGACTTGATGCTTTGAAATAACATACCAGGGTTTTGCGCTCTTTCTTGCTGAAAAGGAAAAATTAGACAAAATTAATCTTTAAAAAGCCGGGCTTAGATCTTCGAGATTATGTGTTGGCCTCTTCTTAAAATGAATGCTTTATGATATGATACGTTATGTTGAATTGTATTGTGTCACTTTGCCTCTAGTATTGAAGTTAATAATATATACCGTAACACTAATAATTTAACTTTGATCAATATCAATATGATACATGGCCACTCAGTTAAAGACCTGAGAGTAAAGTTTAGTTTGGTTAGGGTGGGGTCGTTTGCATAGTTTTTGTTACTGATATTTCTCTTTTTTTCATTTGTTATTATATTGCTTGCTACTCATGTCTTTCCGAAATAAAATTTGAATTGAATTGAATTAAATCAATAAACGTTGGTGGCGCTATAATAATATTTCTTGATCAGAGAAGTGAAAGGCAAGCTGTAGGGGTGGCTATAGAGAGGCTACGAGAATGCTGCTATTTCATAATGTATATACAGATTACGGTGTTCAAAGTTAGAGACCCTTATAAGACCTCTAGTACTCAAGTAAACTTTTAATTTCAGATAAAAATTAAATTGAGAAATTGTTCAAATGAACACTGTAGTCTCCAGAGATACCAAGTCCCGACTAAAAACATTAAAGGAAGTTAAATTTTTTTTTTGTTATGAATACCATATCAACGTTTTATGATAAGTTAAATCAATCTGTATACAACGTTGTTTCGTACTTTAAGGACTCATCAGTGCAGCTCAGATAAATTTGAGATTGAACCTAGCTATGAAACAAGCAAGCTTGTAACATGTGTATAAGAGACAGCATACATACATATACATATATATACACACATAGGCCTACATATATATACATGCATACATATACTTAAATATAAAAACAAAAATAAATATATATATATTATATATATATATTATATATAAAAGATAAAGACCTGAGGATAGGCCGAAATATTGCTTTTCTCCAAAAAGTGTTTCTAAAAGTCTATACATGGTATTCGTTTCCTATATTCTTTTATTTATTTATTACACTTCATCACTGCAAAAATACAAGAACAATTCAAAAACAAGACAAAGAGCAGCGAAAAGGAGGGGATGAACAGGTTTTATTATCGTACCGAAACACACGTGGAACCTCACAATTTTATTTATAAATATTTATTTACATATATTTATATATATGTATATACATATATATGTATATATATATGCTGGCACAATTGCTTAAGAAAATATCAGAATTGCCTTAATATTTCTGTTCCTTAGAAAGACCTTGTTTGTTGAATTCGCAAATATGAGGAAATAACAGAAATTAGTTTTCCGAAAAAAAAACACTTACAATGCAGTAATATGTGACACCACTTTATTTGCTTTTTTTTTTTAAATAAATAGTATACATGTCATATAATTACAGTAATAACTAATACTATGAAGATTGAAGTATGTTACGTTAACGTATCATCTTGCAAATTGAAAAAGAAATATAAATCGACTTACAAAATCGTATTCTTGATTAACAAATATATTTTCATACATTTTGTTATAAAAACGATAGAATAACTATTAAATTATAACCAGTACCGATGAGTTGACCACATGTGTTATAATTTTCTGATATCTTCACCTAAATTAGCCGAGTTATTTTGTCTTTATTATATTAAATTTATAATCATAATAATAAACGATATAAGTGAATACATATAAACATTTATTTTTAAAATGATTAGACGACCGAAGTATTTCTCATGCAAATAAATTACTAAAAACAACTCCACTCCTTAAGCCTCATAAAGGGACTTTGATGATAAAAGCATCAAATTATTATTTCATTTATTAAGAGAGGGCCCCTGTATATAAGCCGACCTTCTAGAATACGCTTGAAGAGTCACCCTTTGTAAAATGGTAAAAATAATTGTGACAAAAACATAGTTTGTAGCTCTAATGCGATGTGCTGGTTAAACAAGTGTAAATTATATCTGTTTTACTTTATCATAAATTACATTATTTAAATAATTGAAGCACTACCAATGCTAACACTCTGAAGAAATATTTAGTGAATGTCGTCATATTCAAGTCTATATGCCACCATAAAATTACAGTAATGTAATTTCAAACGGGTCTAAAAATGATACACAAAATAAATTTATGTAGATCATGCGAGAATAGAGGAACTAGATACTAGATGAGATTAGTTTTCTGTAATGAATTTGTAAGTTAGGCTTACAACGAAATGACCAGCTCGATGTCAAATGAATATGCATTTTACCAGAGTCTAACTGTGTCCAATAATGCACATACCGTAAAATCTCGAATTGAAGCCCAGTGGGCTTAATCTCGAAATGAAGCCCATCTCGATTGAAGCCCATCTCGAATTAAATACCCCCTCTTTAGTTTGCAAAATTAGCCTTGAAAAGAAGCCCGTCTCAAAAAGAAGACCATGGGCTTCTTTTTGAAATAGTACAGTACATACACTGTACATTTCATTTTGAAAAGGAGCGCCCCCCACCCCCGGTCTTTACTTTGCAAAATTAGTCTCGAAAAGAAGCCCATCCAACGTTCGTAAAAAAGAAGAAGGCCAGGGCTTGAATTTAAGGTTTTACGGTATTATCATAGGCGGAGTCGGCTAGGGCCTCCCTAAATTTGTCAAAATTATATAAAAAATGAAAAATGAAGAAAAAAAGAATATTATATTTAAATTCAAGTCATAGAGTGCCATTTCCGGCCATCTGAAGGTGCCAATCACTCCTCAGCCCAATAATGGTGGGGCTGAGGTGGTATAGGCCCTCCATCTGTCAAAACCCCCACCCCCCATGGGCCACGCTATTTGGAATTTCTTTGATCCGCCACTGATAGTTGAAATGTAGAAGGAGAAAACACACTCGGAAACAAATCTAGTTTTAGGCATCCACACACCCACATAAATAAATATACCATAAGTTAATTGAATTGTGTTGTGCATACCTATTATACATTATATTAATGTTGTTAAAGGCTGTCAAGATAAATACAAATGAGGAGAGCAGTTGAAATCTAAATCCTATAGTACACCTTTGGCTCATATCTGTGTTAGTGCGTTGTTTTTTAACGTAAAAAAGTTAAAGACGAACTAATCATCTCTGAAAATATTCGTTAATGATATATTCCTTGGTTAGCTAGAAATACTTGTTTTTCTTCGTACATCTTTCTCCTGAAATACCGGCCTAGCCAATACCTCTTCCCTACTTCTGGGTACCTGTGTGCATACATGCGTGGTAGATGTGTGGGGATGCGCCAAAGTGTTGTTTCTCTTTGAAAATTCCTCAAACTCCCGATTGAAATCATCTTCGTCATCCGGAAAAAGAATACCAACATACTGCGAATCAGAAGGCACACTTATATGAAGCCATCTTTCCATCCATTGCGCAACTTTTTCAACTCTTGTTGTTTGATCTTTTGGTGGTAACATAAACTCCATTGGGGAATCATTAAGATCTTCAATCTTTTCGTTCCGTTCTTGTCCATTTGTGTCTTCTGTTCCGTTATGTGTTACATTTGGAAGAGCTGATTTCGTGTTAACAGAATTTGGACCTGCTTCTAATCTGTCTTTAATTTTCTGTCTATTAGCGTAACGTTTCCAATCTCCAAAAGCACATTTGAAGGCGTTTAGCAGATACGAAACCATTGTCTTTGCCGTTGGAGAGTCTCTGCACAGGAAAACATGACAAACAAAATTTGATTCTTCATTATTATCTCGTTGTACTGTCGTTATAAAAGAAAATACCCGTTGGTATACTTTATCTGCAGCACCGTACGTTACTGTATAAATTGGGATAAATGTTTCTCGTTTTGATGAAACATTTGGTGCTTCCGATATTCGCATGCCTTTAGTAGAAATTGTCACATGTACACGTTGTAGATCTTCCCTACCACGTGCCTTATTATACAATGTGCGAACAATTTCTTTTGTACATTCTCGTCCCATTTTGATCCGAGTTATCATTCTGCCAAGATAGCATACCTCAAATGAGGGCGGCTCTTCAGTCAAATCGAATTGTGCTGATTTTTTTCTAGCAAACGCCATTGTGCAATAAATTTCTGCGTTCCTGAGACTTTAAAATGATAACTGAGCATGCATTACATGACCGAGTTGATATAAACGTGGATTATTATGAAGATTTATTCCAAACGTTGGTTCCTGTGAATATGAAAAACAAAACAATATAAGTTAGTATAATATACCATGGCGTGCGTTTGACAGATAACACGTGGTAGATGTAACCCTATACTCTGATGGTTGTGATCGTATGATGTACGTATCCGACCCTATCGTAGAGGTCATAGTAAGGGTTCAATTCCTATGGGACATTACGTCCGTGAAAAAAATTATTTCTTTGACAATTCAGATATTGTTTATAGAGCTTTATGCACAGAGAACAATATTTTTCACTTGCAGGCGTATGAAAATGAAAACATAGAATATGCAAATATCATGCAAAGTTGTTTTTTTTTTTTTTTAGTTAAGTCAAACAATCCTAGTATATCCTGGAACCGAAACCTAGACTCAGAAATACCGGGGTGGTGTCTGGTGGGGGATAGTTTGCCACCATATTTCAAAGCGACTAGTGTGGCCTGTGGTCCCCTCTAGGCGCATAAAAATGCAGTATTAGCATCCTTTTGTGAATGTTTGTATGTAATTGCTATGGATTGAATCTGAAATAAAAGTAAGTGAATGATTGAATAATGTTTTTATACGGTTGTGATTCCTATACGTCATAGAGCTAACATAGAAAGAACGCTACTCCGAATAAAGAGAGGGAGGCCATGATTCGGAGTAATGTCCGTTCTATGTTATTTAAAGAATAATCAGTGCACCTAAAAGCTATATATATCAAGGCTACTGAACAGCGAATTCAACACAGAGGCTGAATAGGCCTATGAGTACTGAATATGAAAACAATAAAAACTAGACTTCGGCCTGTTTGTCTGTAAGCAGAACATAGGAATTTTCCTTATTGCCATAATAATAAGTAAATGTTGAAATTACAAAAGAAAAAGTTAAAATCATTAAAAAAAAACGTATAAAGTAATAAATACATGAAAAACAGAAATAAAAACATAAGAAAATCATGGAGTAACCAAAAAACATGAAATTAACTAACAGTGAGACACGAACTATGGCTGCAGTGGTAATACTAATAGGCCTATCGAGGGTGATGTTGAGATTTCTTAATGATATGGTAAAGAACTAGACCCTGCGGAAGTCAATGTATTTTTAATTTGTCTACTTTGCGTAATATTACACCGAGGGCGAAAATTGTTTCTGTATCTCACGGTAATTTAGTGTTTAACATAGATGTAGCTAGTTTGAAACGCTTTAGAAAACGCAAATAGCGTTAATATAAACGTTTGATTACCCGTTTGTTATGTGCCGGTCAGAAAACCCTATGCAAAAACATAGGAAAACAGGATAGAAGAAGAAAAAAAATCAGAATGAAAACAAAGGCTTTTTCTGCTAACGCAGGAAAAGCCAATAACAACAGTTAGGTACATTTTAAGACTTATGATTTATCACTTAGATCGATGCATGGTGAATCAATTAGAACAGATGTTAGTCAATTGACTAATTATGCAGTATTCGAAATCAATTCAGTCGACTTCCATACAGTGCCAGCCACCTGCTTCTGCGGACATATTCACACATGGGAACAATGCGCCAGAAAGATAGTCATCATTCATGGTATGACAATATATATTGATTACCATCCGATCCTTAAACTGACACCATCTTTGACACAGTTAACTATCGGGATATGAGTTGCCCTAATCTATGGATACAAACTTCTATCTGTACGAGTTAAGGGCACCGTACCGTCTCCATGAGTGAATAGGTAATGAACGCCCCTGATCCATAGGTCTATATAGAACTTAAAAAGTATGAACTAGGCCTATCTCCCGTGGCTAAGAAGAACCCTCCTCTCCAGTAAAATGAAATCAGTAAGCGAGGATAAAAAGGTTAATTACGTGCATATGCCTAAATAGTAGACGTATGGGTTACTCAGTAAGTCGAAGTGTGCATGCCTAAATAGTGGGCCTGATGCATTTTCTCAAGCGCATAAGCCTAAATACTGTAGTATATGCAAAATCTTAAATAATATGCGTTACCAAATTTCACGTGTGCATGCCTAGTGTTCGTATACGTACATTTGTCTCCCTTACATTAGGCTTATTTTTGTGTAGGATGAAAAAAATAATGTTCATATTCTACCTGAGACTAAACATTATTGATGTTTACAAAAGGCACCACGTACTTCATGCATTGTATTTTCAAGGATATATATTATATAAATTTTAATAGAACTGCAAATCACGATAATTATGCATATTTATATATAAACATTGTGAGGTTCCACGTGCGTTTCGGTATGATAATAAAAGAATATAGGAAACGAATACCATGTAAGAATTTTGGAAACACTTTATTGGGGAAAACCAATATTTCGACCTATCCTTAGGTCTTTATCATGTACCTTAATAAAGACCTAAGGATAGGTCGAAATATTGGTTTTCTCCAATAAAGTGTTTGTAAAGTCTATACATGGTATTCGTTTCCCATATTCTTTTATTAATATACAGTATATACATATATATACACATATACATGCATACATACATACACACATACATACATCATGCATGCATACACACATACACATATACACATATATATCTGTCTCTTATACACATCTAGATGTGTATAAGAGACAGTATATAGATAGACAGTTCCTCGAACTAAAATGAGTTGCCCTTTGTTCAGTCCCGTGTTAACCACATTGGCATCCGTTTATCATTTTAAAAAAGTCAGAGACTGGTCATTTTTTAATACCGCACACTGTTAACAATATCAATATGATAATCTGCACAATACAAGTCAAATCCAAGTAATTATGCTTCAAAACAAATCTCTCAATACGGTACTTACATGACTACATAATGTAGCGACACTGTGTCCTGACCTATTACAATGTAGATATACCATATCAATGATGATACTCTACTGGGAAGTCGAAAGTAGAACAGTATCTACTGGAGTTGTTAGTCACAAACCACCAAAACAACACTGGAGCTACAATTCATTAGCACAATAGTGCATACACAGTATTTTACTTGGTTCATTAGACCATTGTCAATAGGCCGGCGCATCAATTTCGAACGTTAAGCGTTTTGGACGACAGATTATAGAATTGGTTTAGGCAAAAGTGCGTCAGGTGGAAAGTTACGACATGCAGGCCTACGGTAGGAATACTATTGTATTGATGTCTGGATTTTGATTCGAAGCTTACATTTATTTGTAACTCGCTACCTAATAATACTGAGTTTAAAACTAATAATTAGAAACCATCTTGATCTGCCCTGTCTAAATAATGTAATCGACAAATAATTCCACAGTGTCCTGCACTTCGTTGTCATTGTGTTTCGGCTAATATATATATATATATATGCCTATTTTTAATTTTAATAAGCTATCCAAATGGAAATAATTCGATGCTGTAACCACATAAACATAAACATACTGTATTATAAAAAAAAAATCTTGACTAAATATTTCTACACTTAAATAACTAACACTATTAGGCCTATAAATACGTAAATGAAGCTTTATCAAGAGCGCAAATATCGCTGCTAAAACAATAAGTGGCATTTGAATGACAACCAAGATTGTCTGGAAGTACACCTAATATACTAACTAAATATTAAGTGTGTAATACCAAAGAACTGAAATAGTAGAAGAATTAAATTTTTCATTAAAATTGATGAAGGTGATACTTAGTAAAAGAGATTCATATCATTTCTGTGAGTATAAACAAACCTGTCAACATCAGTTGTTACAAAGAGGCATGATGTGTCCAGGACTCCAAAATACATGTGTCGTTTCAGGAACAACATCTATAAATAATATTATAGGCTACCTATTGAAAAAACTACGAGTATACTCTGGTCTTAACCTTCAACGAGAACAAATCCGTGAATCACCCATGATGATGCGATACGTGCAGCGATTTTATCATCCTGTGTGTCAGTGTTTAAATAACTGGATACCAATTCAATATGCATAGCAAATTGAATGAATGGCTTTCAGTTGGTAGAACAATACAATTAATACCAGCGTATTTCTATATTAAATGTTGTATGATTAATGGTAATAGTATTGCTATTATATAAACAGCAATGGGTGATGACATAATTCAACGACATTGATAACCTGTTGGACGGAATTGAGTGTGATGGAAGAAATAACTAAATGCAAACGATCTGGTGGTGAGGATGATGATGATGAGGAGGAGGAGGATGATGATGATGATGATGATAATGATGATGATGATGATGATGATGATGATGATGATGATGATGATGAAGATGATGATGATGAAGATGATGATGATGATGATGATGAGGATGATGATGGTGGTGGTGGTGGTGTATGTGGTGATAATGATGATGTAATGATGAAGATAATTGTTGTGAGGGTGATGATAATGATTATGCTAATAATTGTGATATTGATTATGATAATGGTGATGACGACGATCATTATGAACATAGTGCTGACCATCATCGTGTTGATCATGAAAATGACGCGTTGATAGAAATGTTTAAAATAAAATAATGATTATCTATATTTACACTTGTCACATTCATAGGGGAAAAATACACGAACTTGTTACAACATTTGACTTTTTTAAATTGAAGCCAATTGCATTAGCATCTGACGAGATAATAATAATAAATGTAATATTTTCAAAGATAGTAAGTTATTGGTGGTTGAAAAATTGGTAGCGATTAAATATTTAAAAGCAGAAATATTTAATTGTAAAACATTAAAAATGTACGTCAGTGAATCCCGCCCGAATGATTAACTGTCGAGTGTTGGAACGTTTGAAGGGAGCGCCATCAAGCCGACGAACATATCATATCATATATCATATAT